ATAGCCAAAATAAGATGCCACAACAATGTAAGCACAAGGAATACCAGAGATGGTACTCTAAGAACGGGAAAATGTATACCAAATGGGGAATATCCAGGCCTGATCTAAGACATCTATCTCTAAATATAACAACTGACTAAGATCCAAATCAAGTAACATGTTCCTTCTCCTCCTCCTTGGGAATTCTGACCCAAATAACCGTGACCAACGCAGCAAGCAACTGTGCCGCAAGGGCAAACCACCAAATAGCACGCAGCCCATCAAGACCGATTTCCCCTGACGGGCCCCTATCAATACGGGTCCCAATAGCATCAGCGACACTGGTCATAATCGCCGACGAAAGATTCTGGTTCGTAACCAACAAAGCGCCTGCACTCCCCTGATAGGACCGTTCAACATTACTAGTAATGAAGATCGAAGCTGCCGCAAAAGCAAGGTCAGGCCCGAATGTCACTAGGGAAATACCCGGGAATGAAAGCGCCCAGTAAGTGGTGTTGGCAGTCTGCGGCAGGAAAAACGCCGGTCCAAGCGTGAAGGCTAGCATGGATACCGCATAAATATAGTGACCGGGAACGAGGTGCAAAGTTCGGGCGACGATCAACGTCGCCAGGACACCGACCAGCGCGTTGGGGATATGATACAACGCGACAGCAATGGGGCTAGCGTGTTGAATACGAAGCCAGAACTGAATGGCGTAGAACTGCCAGCAGCCGAAGAAGGACCCGAAGCCAAGGAAATACGCGATCATCAACGGAGTGAAGCCCGGTGTGCGCCAGAGACGGTTAGGGACGAGAGGGCGAACCGCATTGCGCTCCGCAAAGAAGAGCCCGACGAAGAGCAAGAAGCTCACGATGATCAAAACGTACGTGTAAGCAGACCACGAGGCGACGGGGCCCTGCGTTAGCCCGAACAGGAGACATACGCAGCCGCCGGCCGCGCAGAAGCCGCCGATGTAGTCGAATTGCTTGATCGACGGGGCTTCCTTACCGGAGACATCGGCGATCGGTCGGAGCGGTGGAATAGCGAACCAAGCTGCTGCACACAACAGCACGCAGATAATAGCGTTTGAGCCGAAGATCCACGGGAGGTGTTGGTATAAGGCTCCGCCTTGGATTGCGCCGAGGGAGAACCCGAACGGGGCGGTGGCAGCCATTGCTGAGAACACGCGGTTCTTGCGAACACCGGGTGTGTAGACGCGGCCGAGGATGCTCATGCTTCCTGAGACGAGGACGCCAATGGCGAGACCCTGCATGGCGCGCATGACGAAGAATAGGACGTAGCGGGATGGGTGGAGGGTGAATACGCCCACTAGGTTCCATGCGGCGAGCCAGGCGAAGGCTCCGACCATGAGGAGCTTTGGTGGCATTAGGTCTGTTAACGAGCCGGAGATGATTACCGACAGGCCGTTAGCTGTGTTGAAGGCGCCGACGACCCAGGGGAGCTCGGTGTTTGTGATGCCGAGGGCTGTTTTGATTTGCTCTTGTGGGGCGAGCATGTCGCCTAGTAGGAAGGAAAAGAGCATTAGGCCCGCTGAGCAGACGAAGATTAGGATGAGCTCGGCTGTGAAGCTCGAGAGCTCGGGTGGGATGCCTTGCTTGCTGCGGGTCGGGGATCCCGATTCTTCGTCGGAGCTATCTGGATGAGAACGGGATACCGAGTCCGCATATTTTCTGTTCTTCATTTTGCTTGTTGTATCGAGGGCATAGCTCTCGTTGATTTCATGACCGAGGCCATTGACGGAAAGGTCTTGGAGTGCGATTTTGTCCACAATCTTGGTGCTGCCCATCAATGGATCGGGGGTTTGCGCCCCGGTCGCTGGTGTTGAGTATGTCCTTGTGTAGGACATCGAAGACCGACTGGATACTGGCGCTGAGTCTCCATCTTGACCTTCTGGAAGGGTACGATCTAGATGCTGGGGCTCATTGGCACGGGGGTCTGCACCCGCGTGCGGTTCAAATGACATTGTCAATTTACCAGAGGCACGAAAGTGCTAAGGTTGCTATGAGGGAAATTTGGGAGTTGAGGAAGAGAGAGGAAAAAAGTCTAAAGGATGGCGAAAGACGGCTAAATTGATGGTAATATGGAGTGGAGTTGGTGGAGTTCCGATTCTTACTATGTATCCACCAAAATAAGGTCAGGCTTCTACTTTGACTACAAAGTACCATGTACAACGATGTATAGCATCCACGATGTCTAACGTGCAAATACAACGCACCTCCTGCATATCCATGAGTCAAGCCATCATGGTCATCGGAATCCCTTGCGGAAGCTTGCGTACACTCTTAAGTAGTGGATCTAGTTTATGTTTCAAGGATGATAAGTATGTCTATAGTCATTTCTAGCGACTTCTTCCCAAGCACCAATATTTAGGGATACTTATTCCCACATTGAAACCAGAAGTCCTTCAGTTCGCTTTTGGAAGCAGCGGACAAAAGAAAAGAAACGTGGCAATCATTGGCCATATACATGGGCGCAGGAGTTGGAATGCCAAATGCCACTGGAGAAATGTACATCAATCTCGCCAGCCTTGATCGTCAGTGATTTACACGATAATTTGATGCCCAATCTCTTCCTACGAGTTTTTCATCCAATCGGATGCACGGCATGGCGGAATCCGATTTCCGAGGCCGAAGGGAGGACAACGGAACCTTACATCAGGCTAATATTCGGATATTGTTAGACCGGTATTCGGATGTGATGATCATTAAGGATCCTTCTGATCTACGCTTGATCTTCAGGGTCTCAGATTCTATGGAGTATAAACTTGGATTTCGACTAAGCTTTGTAGATCAGGATCTCCCTACATGCATACGACGTCATATCGTGCATACCTCCCCTTTCTGAGATAAGTTTGGACTATGCACTACGTCCTACTAATTTTGAGATCTACACAATCGTGTTCAAACTGAAAATCCAAGTCATTGCTCTTTCATTCGTGAGTGCTAAATCTATATGCGTGCGTATTTATATGCTTATTTGCCGAACACCTTGTAGCGACCCTCGATAGGAGCGAAGTCCTTCTCACCAGGTTCAGAGGTGGGAACACCGAAGACCAGCTGGGCGTCCAACTTCCAGGAGGCGGGGAGGTCCCAGGTCTTGGCAATCGGCTCATCGATGAGGGGGCTGTAGTGCTGAAGGTTGGCACCGAAGCCCTCGGACTCAAGGGCAGTCCAGACTTTATGACAGTTAGTTTCAAATTACTCGTTTCTGACCAAAGACCGAAGAAAAGCACATACCAAGGTACTGAGACATAGCATTTGACTCCAGGGCAAAGGGGTCAAACTTGTCGGCATAGATCGCGAACTTCTCTTTGATGGGAGCGAGCGCTTCATAGTCGACAAAGAAAAGGACCTGGATTAATGGGTAAGCTGGTGATTCGCGATTTCAACACAAAATGGTGTCATGTTGGAGGAGGTCAAACGTACGGTTCCATAGGCAGCGCGGAAAGACTCCAACTTGGGCTTGGTTGAAGTCTCGAACATTTCCTTAGGCACGTGGCCAGCAGCGACCAGACCCTCCATAACATTAATGGCAATATCCCACACCTTCTGGTGCTCCTCCTTCAGCAGGAGGACAACGCGGGAGGTCTGGGTGTTGAAGGAGCTGGGAACGTGCAGAACGGAGTCCTGAACAATGCGGTCAATGACATCGTCAGAGACAGGGCTCTCGCCCTTGAGGCCGTAGTAGGTGCGGCGAGACTTCACCAACTCCAAAAGAGTGGCAGTAGCCGGGTTCTTGAATTCGGGTTGAGTGGATCCCATTGTATAGGTGTTCAGGGGTGACAGGTGGATGATTAGTGGAGTGAAGTGGTATAGAATGATTCCAAGGAGGAACAATAGGTGGACTGGGATGGGGTCTTTATACATGTGGATTTAAGGATTCGCAATCCATAAATCGTGAGATCTCCATAATGTTCTTCTATCGCTTTCTCCATCCCATCTACATGGCCCCATCTCGGAGTAAATTGGCCACTCGCAGCCAATCACAATGCAACACTCCTGGGGAACTGCAGAACGGAACTGACAGTTTCCGACCTCCGAAACCCCCGCGTAAGCAGATGTAAGCAGATGGAGGCGCCCGCGCACACTACCAATTAATCAGCTTGGACGCCATTATCAATGCGTTACCAAGCATTTGTCTATTTTTATGTCAACCTGTGCGGAATTTATTCCTAAGCCATATAATTGTAAACTCAAATTTTCAGATTCGAACTATTCTGTTCCTGAACACCCTATCTCACCATAGGTTCAAATTTTAATATGGTTGATACCACCAAAATGGCGTTTTCGGTCAAATAGACCCTAGTTCACAACTCAAGTTCAAATCCAGAACATAGCGCCCGCTACAATTCCATAAATCAATGCCACGGGCGCAGCCGTGTTGACTCCGTGGTTTTTCATCGCCATCGGGACAGTGACGGTGGCCTTGGCGGTCTGATGTTGTCCGCAGTCACATTCACAGTGACACGGAATAGAGCTAGCGAGAACCGTCACGGTCACTGTCGTCCCATTCTTGCTACCCTGCGAAGTTCCGTTGCCGAAATAAGTTGGGCCACCAGTTATCATGGCTGTCGAATTAAGGAATCCAACCGAGGCTACGCTAATGGGATCAGTGGTCGCGGTCGCCGGCGCAGTCAAGCTTGAGTCAGTGGTTGAGACATGAGAATCGGTCAAGGGTCTGTCTTCGGTCGCAGTAGAAGGCGCGGGGAAGTCTCCGGTATCTGTCACGATCAAGGTTGCCGGGAAAATTCCAAGGGTGGAATCGTCGCCCGTGGCTGGAACAAGGACTGTGGCTGAGGTGGTAGTACTAGCTTCATGCAAGGACTTCGTTTCTGTGCAAGATGCGCCTGTGGGTGTTGGAGAGCCCATGAGCGTGCAACCTGAGGTGAAGTCGAATTTGTAGCCGTTGGCAATCATGTCATATGCTATGTACAAGTCAGTGTGATGTCCCATTTGGGGCGCTGCTATGTTCTTACTGCTCGGTCCGTAGATAACTGTCAAATCTGGAGTGAATCGGTGGCAGGCTCTTTGGTCCGAGAGACAGTTGATTCCGTAGGTTGTTGTTGCATCTTTCTGCGTTGATTGTTAGAAAGTAATCACAGGAGAAGCAGACGAGATACATACGGCGCCTATGACCTTGCCCCCATAGCCATGGAAGTAATCGGGTGCATCTGTGACCCATGGAATCGTCTGTATGCTGTTAGTTTCCTCAGTATCTTTCTGGCTTGGTGGGAGGTAAACAAACAATTGTCGCGTCTTGGGCAAGCCCGAGATCAACCCAGCATAGTTGGATAACCAAAGCGAGAAGATATCTGAACAACATTCTGTAGATTACTGACGAGATCTTTGGGAACGTCTCTTGGAGAAGATAATTTTGAACAAAAGAGATATTGTGATACACGAGGTCTTGAAATGAGAAGCCATGCAAGTCCGAAACAATGTACATAGTACAGATAATCAAATAATGTGAATGGAAAGAACAATATCCAAAACATCGGAAAGAGCGAATCACAATTGGATGCCTGGCCAGGAAGGCGTATATTTCCTAGTTTAGTGACTATATAACTGCGTGGTCTTAGGAAAGAGGTCTTGATATTACCCCCGTCCATGTAACACAGCCCATTCCTGCTTGACTGAAATCCCCAAGCCTCTTTTCTCCCTCTGATCCGTATCCCTGCTCTTTCCAGCTTCAAGAGAGGCTTCGTTCCCACGGGATATATCTCTCGCCTCTGTGGGGCTTTGAACTGCGACGCCAACTTCATGCTTTGGTCCGATTGGGCGCAAACACAGCTCACTCGAATTATTCTGAAGCGGCTGGAACTCGCCATCGCCAGTAGACCCGGATCTTCCAGACGGGGATGGAGATTTATTCGGTGGGCGAGCTGTCACCTCGGGTGTGTATCTTAAACGTCCTAGGAGGGGGCGCATCATAGGGACCGAAGCAAGGATGACAGCGAGGCAGGGCTCCAGGCCGCTGAAGATGTTGGCACGGGGAATCGAGTAGGTGATGTCGGTGAAGTCCATTGTGGAGAGAACAGAGATGCGAAGAATGCTGATGATACATGTGCTATATCCAGGTTAGCAAAGACCTCTCCCGTTTCGTCACTAGTTGTTTCGTAGCTCTTACACTGCTCCCAACCCGAAGATAGTGATGAATGTCACTTTCTTATACGTGGCCATTTGTAACTTATACAGTAGCGGCATAGGTGTCACCAGCACAACAACGTCGGTAATAAGATTTATAATCCCCGTCACCTTGAATGAGGTAACCTGGTTACCACACGACCCCCCAGGGATAGTCTGGTCCCAGTTAAAAGCGAAGGGCCGACAGATCAGACACCCAGCCAGTATTGTCCCAATAGTCCAGCCTACAATCAGAGCCATTGTTGCCCAGGATACTCGCACAACCCAAGTGACGGGGAAGATGCTAAGGTATAAGAACAAGATGGAGATCTTTGTACAGCTGAGACTCAGAACCCAGAGGAATTGCAATGGGATGATCAGCTGAAGAAGTTTAATGATAGGCTCGGTGCCAAATGTCCCTGCAATTGTATTGACATGACCATAACCGATGCCCGCTTGTATCACGCCGGTGATGCTGATGGACTGGAGGCCAACGGCGAAGATCTGTATTGGTTAGCATAGTTTAATTGCCTGATTTGGGAAGTACTCACACCGGCTGCAATTATGAAATAGTCAGTTAGGATCCATCTCTTACGCGCAAGATGGTGCGCTAGCAGTCGCAGGCATACCGCTACCACAGCTAGAATGGAGAAAGCGATGGCCACACCCAAGACTTGCCTTTGGGCTGGCGTCTCAATGGGAAAGATAACAACCATCTCCCATTCTCGCAGAAATTTGAATTTTTCCTTTTTTCAGAAAAAAGCCGGGGAACGATGTTAAATAGGTAATTTGAAACCAAATCACCTGCAGCTAGCACGGATGTTGAGATAGCCCGGGGGCCAAAATGCTAGGCCAGGGGTAATACGATACACCTACCGTTTAGCTTCGGCACTTCGAGCGTCAGATAAGTTACATCTTTAGGAAATAGGCAAACTATAATGAACACTGGCTACATAGTAATATGACACATTCTGCACAGGCTCGCATTTCATTGAGGTGATGGTTGAAAGACCCAGTGTATCCAGATTAACAATAATATTGTCGCGTTTGATGATGGAAAAAAAAAAGAACAATTCCTTTCTTCGGCATATGACAGCTGAACGTCTCCCCGGGGTCCTCAATAGAAGGACACTCATTGGTGGGCCAAGTGCCGCTTGCACTAGTTTTGAGTCCGTCTATAGCCCGTCGCTTTTTTTTAGCGCGTTTTGTCCTCCAAAACCAATTCTAGGTCTAGAAGAAATAATAGATCTTGGCATACACGAGTCATGCATATGTTTGCGCTATGTAAAACTGCGTCCCCTTTTCTCCGCAACGCATCTGATATGTCAAACGTGTCCCGCTTAGCCCCTACATTTCTGTAACAAATATGACTGCAACACCTGTCGTGGTCGCGGTGGCGGTCGGTCTGTTGACACTGCTCTGCACTGTCAGAGGAAAAAAGAAGGGAGAAAGTAAACCTCTCCTCAAGCTTCCCCTAATCGGTGACCTCCATAGCTCCCCCATTGACAAACCACTTTTAAACTGGGACTCATGGACGAAGGAAAATGGACCTATTGCAGTACCGAAGCTCTTTGGGCTCATACCAATTGTGGTCTTGAATTCATATGAGGCTGTGACTGAGTTGTTCAGCCGCCGCAGCCAATGGTACAGCAACCGTCCGCCCTCCGTCAGCATGGAGATGATCACGGGGGCTGAGCCTGGGCAGTCAAAATTTACTCTGATGCACGACTACGATGATCACCTCAAATTTCACCACCGCATCCTGGCACCCAGTCTCGGCGCTCTTGCCGCCCCACAGTACCATCCCTTGATGGAGCTTGAGTCCAAACAGCTATTATTTGATCTCTCAAATGCTACACGACAGTTTCCCCAAGGCATCAGCACAGAAACCATCTATCCACTACTTGAGCGCACTCAATCGAGTGTCATACTGGCTCTGCATTATGGTATGCGCATCCCAAGCTTCGAAGAGCATATCTTGCACGAGATCATCGACATCCAAACTCAAGTAACCCACCTCGCCGCGAACCCCGGCATTCCAGATATTATCCCGGCTCTGCGCCATCTGCCGGCATTTTTGTCACCGTGGAAGCGAGCGGCCGATGAGCTGTACGCCACACAGGTGGACCTCTATATGCGCCTGTTCCAGCATGGGAGGGACTCAGCAGGCTGGAACTCCACCAAGCAGGCCATCGCCACAGCGGAGAAGTACTCTGAAGACGGTGTCCCTGACCTCGATCTCGCTTTTACTCTCGCGACATCCATCCAGGGAGGTATGGAGACTTCACCGCGGCAGCTGCTGTGGCTGTTCATTGCAGCGCTCCACCAACCGTCCTTCATGGCGCGGGCGCACACCCTGCTCGACGAGGTTGTCGGGCGTGACCGCCTCCCCCAATTCTCGGACCGTTCAGGACTCGCTTTTATTGACGCTATTATGCATGAACTTTTCCGTTGGCGGCCTATTTCGCCAGGATCAATTCCCCGTAGGGCGGATCGGGATGACGAGTTCAATGGTGTCAAGATCAAGAAGGGTGTCACTCTCATGGCCAATGCGTGGGCCATCGGTCGGGACGAGAAGATCTTTGATCCCGCGCTAGGAGCCACTCAGGACTTCGTGCCTGAGCGGTGGCTCCAGCGTGATGATGGCGGAGAGGAAAGGCTGCGGACGGACCTTCCATTGCCGGTTTTTGGGCAGGGCCGTCGTATCTGCCAAGGAAAGAGAGTCGCTACAGATGGATCTTTTATGCATGTTGCTTGTCTGCTCTGGGCTTTTGATATCGAGCCCGCCGATGGGGAAGAGGTTGATCCATGGGCGATGGTCGTAGCAGGGTTCATGACAATGCCGAGGGAGGTCAAATTTAAACTCCGGCCCAGGGGTGACTGGGTAGTCGATGTTATCAATAGAGAGTGGGAGACGGCGGAGAAAAGTCTCGGAAAGGTTATGGGAACTGATGTGGATGTTGAAAGTAGATGATATGCCAAATGGACGTTTCATGTTACGATTATATATATCCGAACTTCTGCCTGCAGGGTGAGGTTGTGGTTTCAAATTGTTTAGGCCTTTTCGTTGGAGTACGTCAGCTACCTGAAGGGCATATGGGTTATGCTGTACTTTGTGGATCCGCTTATCTATGGTATCGAGTGATCGGCTGGATGGGGTGTTTTGATATTGAGATTAATGGGTTCACTTTGCGGTGGAAAAGAGGCAGAAAATGAAAAAGCTGCACGTATCAATTAATTCAAAAAGGCCAGGGATTGAACGCATGACTTTGGGATTCGGGAATTCACCATAGCGTCGTTCCTTCCTAAAATGGCTGTCTGGATAGCTTCATTTTTGACTTTATATGGATGTACCCTGCACATAAAGCCTCCATCAACCACCATCATCGAATACTCAAATTGATGTCAGACTTAGCAGATAGCAGGCTGGCCCTATATAGGTCCTTCCTTTCAAATCTGGAGCTATCACGACCCCAGAAAGGCAGGCAAATTGTAGTTCAAATATGCTCTGGTGACGAAGAAGACAACGACTAATATTTCAACCAGCCCCCCCCCCCAGTGGCCCAGCGGTATTACGGCCGGGGCATCCCACACCAGGATGTCGCAACGGGTTTTACTTGCTCCCCACTGTCGGTCGGACTCTTATATGCTGAAGCTCTCCCGAAGCACTACACTAGGCAAACCCCCCGCGGAAGGGTATAGTCCCCCGTTACTTAGGAGGGAGGCCGTAGATTAGTACGGAGGGTAGAGGTGTCTAGTCTAGATAGTGTAGTGGGGAATCGCCTGCGGTAGGCTAGATTCCATTGGATGATGTTTTCCCAGTATACAGTCGTTACAGTTATAGCTTCGTCTTCGAGATAGCCAGGAAATCGACAATACACACTCTTTCGCAGAATCAGCATCTGTTTCCCTTTTGGGGAGGCACTCCCTCAGTCAGGCCTAGTGTGGTGTGTCGTGATTTGGTGGTTGGTTTGTTGATTCCTCTCGACCCGTCTGCACGATCAGACTTGCCTACGAGCGCCCTGGTTCAATAGTTACTTCTTAGCTCTGGTATAGTAGGCAACATACTTGGGGAAATAATGACATTGAAAGTTTTTTTATTTTAATCGAGAGCAATACGGGTTCGACTAGTAACTCATCGTACAAATCGAAGGCCAAGTCCCCAATATATATCGTTACTTCGAACAGCTAACTAATCCATGGATGCCTGACTAACCGATGATCTTGACGGCGCGACAGCGATAGCTACTAAATCAGCGATATCGAGTCACTTGAAAATATGGGTGGAAAACCTTTGGATATGTGCCTGATGAGAGTGGACAAATTTATAGCACCGCAGCAAAACAAAAAACTTCAACTGTCTTGTTTACAGTCACGTAACTAGCCCAAAACGTCAATTTGTAACTACGCCCCCTTACAACCCCTCATCCAGGACGGCTGTGGAAGCTTCCGCAACCCGATGATACATCTCCAACAAATTCCCCCTGCCCACCCTCGAAAACAGCAGAAAATAAGCCATCAACCCAACCCCTCCACTCGGCGACACCATAGTCCCAGGTTTCGCATGCAATTCCGCTTTGGACACATACGGCACGATATCCGGGACGATCATACACCCTCTCCACAAAGTCCCCAGGCACGAGAATATTCTCTCGATGCACTGGGATTAAGGCATGGGCCGCCCAGTACTGCGCCCCGCCTCCACCGCCCGCAGACGCGGGGAACCGGAACCCCTGGGATAGCGCGACGAAACGCTCACGGTCTTCGACCGCCCGCAGGAGATGAAGCGCGTTGTAATCGATGCCGTAGGTGTAGAGCGTTGAGAACGAGGCGCCGATGCCGGGGGGACGACCGTTGACTTCTATGAGGAACGCGTCTGGCTCGGCTAAGGGGGGCGCGTCTTTGAGGACGAGCTCTTGGATCCCGTCGCCGCGGTCGGTGAGACGCATGGATGAATTGTGCATGCGCGCCTCGACGTGAAACACGCCCTAGCCGAGACCGAGCTTCCGGAGGCTGCGCTGCAACGAGTCGCGCACAGCCTGCTGCTCCGAGGCAGGAAGCCCGCTGTTGGAGATCATGGCTGTCTCAAAGAAGTTGTCCGCCAGAGTTGCGTCGTTTGCGTCGCCTGCGGAAGGCAAATCGTCCGTGAGCTCTAGGAAGAGGACCTCGCCGTCACAGAGGACGAAGTTGCAGTCGAGCTCAGGGCCGTCGACGAATGTCTCCAACAGAATTCCCTCCTCGTCAAGGCCATCGGCTGTTAGCAAGCGGACTGCTTCGCGCAGGCTACTCTCGTCCGTCACTTTCTTCACCCCCGCTGAGGCTCGCCCGTAGGCTGGCTTGACGATGAGTGGGTATTGGAGAGCAGCGAGGTTGTTGGCGAAGGCTAGGCCATCCAGTTGCGCTGCGTGCTGGAGTAAAAACGCTTGAATATTGGTGTTGTTGACGACTTTGCGTAACTCGTCTTTGTGCAGCCCTTGCTGCATCGCATGGAGCGGTTCCGCAGGTAAGCCTAAGACCTCAGCTGCTTCGCCAGTAGTGAGGACATATTCATCGGTGAAAGTGATGATGCCATCGATGTCCCGACCTTTGACGGCATCTGTGATGCGCCGCACGAGCCCGTCGTTGAAGGATAGATTAACGGCCACGAAGTCGTCACGGAGATGGGCGTATTTTTCGCCCTCGAGCCAGTGGCCCGGTTCATCGAGGATGGTTATGGCAATTCCCAGGGCCCGAGCGGCGTCGAGGAATCCCTCGGCACGGTATGTGCCGCCCTCATATCTGTGTCGACCGGCGACAAGAGCTACCTTATAGGAAGCTGGCTTCCGGGGAAGAATCCAGTTGAAAGACAATCGTGTCTCCATATCTTTGTGCAGAAGCGCCCAATTGTCGGTGCCGGACTCCGGCGTTTCCCTTGGGATGATTGCGCCTGGGGAAGACAGCAGCAACGGCAGCAGAGAATGCTTGTCATGTCTGGAGAAAGTGGGAAGGCGTTTATCCCAGGTACCGAAGGAGATGACGGTGTCTACGAACTCGGAGTGGCGCATCCGCACATCGAGAATGTCGCTTCGACACAGGTATCCGTCCACTGGGGCGAGGATTACCTTTACTGCGATCTCTGTTCGACGCACAGTTTGGTCTATACTGATTTTGCGAACGAGAGTCTCCAGCGCAGAGCCCGTGGCATCCGCTAGAAGAGATTCATCCTCTCCATTTTCCTTGGAGATAGGCAGGACCTTCAGTAGCAGATCAAGGACGTAGAAGTATCGCACTGCGTACGCTTTTCCTGGCAAGTCGCTGAGCCTCCAGCGGCACTGAACCTTGACCGGTGCTGCGGTGGATTATTAGTATCCGGTGGAAAGTTACAGAGATTCATGGGCATACCTTGGTTGTTGGAGACCTTAACCAGAAAGTCCTCAGAAACACAAGTTCCGTCTCCAATGACATAGGGAGCCATGGTGCAAAATGGTGATATCTAGTGATCTAATGGCAAGTCGATAGAACGGAGTTCTATGGATCACTACCAACCTGTATTTTATCTGTCCTTTTACACTCCAGTTATGTAGAGATTGGCTGCTATTCCCAGATGGGCTTGGGATTGTCACAGGATGTTTAACTACATGTTCTGGCTTATATCAGCTCATTGGTACACCTGCGCATCACCCTCGGTAGACTCTATGACTGGGCGAAGGAATTAGGGGCTAGAGAGTGTATCATATTTTTGGTTTGTGTCTCAGATCTGAGGCTCAATGGCTGACCTTGCATATGTTGAGGTCAGCCAGGGCTCGGGAAGTGGCTGACACAGCCTAACCGATTCCGGCTCTTCCCTCCAGTAGAAACAGGGGCCAAGGCCAAGGGCTAGAACTGGTCTCTTTATTCATGGCCTCCACGTGACTGGTACCGCCTGCTGGCTGAGAGGTAGCAAAGCCCGAGCCTCAATGCTTCATCAATAATAGGGGCTTAGTAAGTATCATGGAGGTCTATCAAAATATCCAAGTCGTGACACTCCTGCTCCTCGCGGCACTGGGAGTAGTGAGCGTGTCCATCCGCCGTTTCTTCATCCGCCGTCAGTTCGCCCGCCGCCACGGCTGCCAACCAGTCGCGAGATCATTCAGCAGAGACCCCTTCCTGGGCCTTGATACAATCCCTGGCACCATCCGCGCTCTCAGGCAACATAAAATCCTCGAACAAGGATGCGAGCTGTTTCGCGTCTATGGCAATACACTCACTCTCAAAGAGCTGCAGCGACGCGCGATTGTAACGATTGAGCCCAAAAACATCAAGACAATCCTATCGCTGAAATTCCAGGACTATGGTATCAGTCACCGCCTTGAGCCATTTAAGCCGCTGTTAGGCGAGGGTATATTTAATACGGATGGCGAGCACTGGGCCTCATCGCGCGCTCTCATTCGGCCTAGTTTTCACCGTGAGCAGGTGGCGGATTTGACCACTTTGGAGGCGTTGTTTCAAGATTTGTTATTATTGCTTCCGCGAGATAACTCCACGGTTGACTTGCAGGAGCTGTTTTTCTGCTACACAATTGATTCTGCATCGGATTTTCTATTCGGACAGTCTATTCACACGTTGAGGAAGAACCAGTCGCAGACCGGGTTCGCGGAAGCGTTTCATTATGCCCAGAAGGCTGTTCTCACGCGCGCCACGCTAGGACCGCTGAATATCGTCTACCGTGATCGAAAGGCCGATGAGTGTAATCGGATCTGCCGCGAGTTTGTGCAACAGTTCGTCGAGGAAGCTGTCCATACAGCTGCGGATAAGGAAGGGATACAAGCAGAGACAAATCGGAAACATGTATTCTCGCATGAGCTTGCATCGCGAATGTCCGATAAGCAGCGCATTTTGGATGAGCTGATGAATGTGCTGCTAGCCGGGCGGGATACGACTGCGAGTCTACTGGGGAATCTCTTCTTCATGCTGGCGAAGAATGCAGCTATATGGCAGAAGCTGCGGCGTGAAGTGGCCGTCTTACAGGGTCGGCCACCGACTTATGAGCAGCTCCGGGGGCTGAAATATGTCCAGTGTTGCGTAAATGAATGTATGGACTATCAACTTAGTTCTCTTTGGCTTTCACTAATTAGGAACCAGCTCTCCGCCTGCACCCTGTCGTCCCACGAAACGAACGTGAAGCAATACGAGACACAATCCTCCCACTAGGTGGAGGCGAAGATGGCCTATCCCCAATCTTTGTTTCAAAAGGGACCTTGGTATGCTACAACATCTACGCCATGCATCGGCGGGTCGACTTCTATGGCCCAGATGCAGAAGAATTCCGTCCGGAGCGCTGGGAGGATGGTAAGCTACAGCCACGCTGGGGATATCTGCCATTCAATGGCGGACCGCGGATCTGCATTGGACAGCGCTATGCTTTGACCGAGGTTAGCTACGTTCTTGTGCGGTTGGTGCAGGTATTCTCCGGGCTGGAGAGTCGGGATCCGGGGCCTTGGGAGGAGTCGCTGGCTTTGACACTTTGTTCAAGGAATGGCACGAGGGTTGGGCTTATCGTTTAGCTGGATATTTCGTTCGTCCGAATAAAGTATATTATGGTAGGTCTAGTAAATGACAACACCATTGGCCTTCTTTTCCTCCGCCTCGAGCGAGAGACTAGAGCTCGAAGACGAATATGAAATCTCAACACTCGCATCCCTTCCTACGACTTCTTCCTCTGCTTCCTCTTCCGCATCTCCTTGAGACCATTCCTTCCAAATATCCGCCAGAACCGTCGCCAATGAATCCAAAAATCTATCAATCTCGTCCTCTTTGCCAATAGTTACTCTCAAACACCCCCCACACCCAGCCTCCCCACCCCGGAAACGCACAACTACGCTCTCCACCTCCACCATCTTTTCATACACCATCATGGCAGCCTTAAAGATATCCTTAAAGGTAAGCCCGGTAATAGGCGTCCTAGTGTTACGCACTACAAACTAGTCATAGTTAGGTTAGTAGATCGCGGGTTATACTCATAAGGGGTCTCTGATCTTCCCACGTCAACGATCTATCTCTCAACCGTACTATTGCCAACAGGCCTTACTATAGGTTAGGTCCTTTTAAGGGTATCGAGGAACGATACTAGGTAGAGCGCTTAATTAATCTATACCGAAGTATTAGTCAATTAATAGGTGTTATCGAGTTATAATCAAGTAAGAAGTCACACTAGTAATTAAAAGGTAAATATAAGTAATAATATATAATTAAAGATAAAGAACTAAACTACATATATAAATAAGTGTCTTTATATATCCCTAGGTTCTTCCTATATAGATAAGTAGTGAGTAGAGTGTAGGCCTTGACAAGTGCAGCTGCACCTCGAGAAATTTGGTGCAATGGCCCGGTGCTGTCGGGTGCAGCGGTACCTTGAGAAATTTGGTGCAATTGCCCGGTGCAGCGAACGATGGTGCAGTTGCACCTCTTGGCGGTGCAACCAGGTGCTGCCAAGGCCAGATTTTGCCAAGAAATTACCCCATTA